CCACCTGCACTACCACCTGCACTGCCACCTGCACTACCACCTGCACTGCCACCTGCACTGCCACATGCACTGCCACCGGCACTACCACTTGCACTGCCACCTGTACTGCCACTGTCACACCCAACAGAATCAGCAATCCCAACACTGTCTGAGGCATCTGATACTATCTTCAGAATGCCTGCCTCATTCCCTCAGACTATTCTTCAATTCTTCAGACTACTTTCCCCTTAATCTCTTGAAATAGACTCATTTAGAACAATAAGCAGACAGGCCCTGATTAATTGCAGACTTCTCTAGGGTGGAGGGAGTGTAAGTGTTAATGGAGGTGTTTCCTTATAGGGAGGCTCATTAGGATTAACAAAATTGGGAGGAAATCTCAAGCTGTTGCTGGAGGGTTTTCCCTTAGAGGAGCATGTGAAGGACAGATCTTGAGGAAAATGCTTAAAGTATTTTTGCTTAAAACTCAGCATATGATAAAGAAGAAAGTTGACATAATTGGGGTTTTTCAGGGGATGTGGATTACTCAAATCTGTAACCAGGGCAGACAAGTCACCCCTGCCCTTCTGTAAAGTGCCTGATAGCTTCAGACCTTGAACAAATTCATCTAGCCTGGCTACCTGGGGAATAAACTATATTAAATTTTGTTTGCCTATTCAGATTATACTTCTTGTTATTCTTTGAGCTTAGGGAATAAAGTGCTATGGTGTTCTGAATTTTCTGATAAGCCTTGGGTTATTTGGAGAATACCTTTTGCTCTAAATCCTTCTAAAATACATTAGTCTAAAATGATAAACCAGAAAATACGTTTGCAATATGTGAAGCAGTGTAGGACTATTGGGGGTGGGGAGAGAACACACAAAGGCTTTAGTGCAGTGGCTCTCAACCTCGCTAGTGCTGTGACCCTTTAATACAGTTCCTCGTGTTATGGTGACGCCCCCAAACCATAAAATTATCTTTTGTTGCTACTTCATAACTGAATTTTGCTACTGTTATATGGACCCAGGAGAGTGGCAAAGGTGATCTGATCGGTATTAATAGAACTTGGGGCAGAGTCAATCATAGGGTGTATCTTTAGCAAGCATGAGGCTTGTGTTCAGTAGCCCTGCCCTGCCATACCATATGCCTAGGAACGTCTGATAGGAAATAGGACCTTCCATCACTTCCATCCCACATAGATGGTGTGTCTCTTGGGAAACAAATTTGGTAACCTCCAGTAAAATCTACAACTCCTGTCTACTTAGATGTGTTAGGGCTGTGCTTTGGTATTTATGCCAAAGACATACTTACATCATAGGATCGATGTGCTAAATCTGCCTCACCCAGATCACCTCATTTAGAGGTGAACCGCAGCAGCATTAGCAGCCTCGAACAAGAGGGAGAGACTTTCTGCCCACCAAAGCCAAATTAGCCAAGGTGTAGCACGTGCCTGTCGTTCTGTTAGAGTGCTGCTAACTGGCTAGAAGCCATTAGCTGAACGTAGTGCAGTATGGGAGAGACAGAACTCTTCCCAAATACTGTATTCTATTTGGGAAGTAGAATGGAATTTTTGTGCTGAAAAGGTGTGTTTTTCCTCTGTTTGTAATCCTGCAGAGAGATGGAGCAAATAGTCATTAAGAAGGTGTTAGAGAGACAATGTTTGGGTTAGAAGATTTTGGAAGCTCAACTTCACTGTACATTTTTGTCATATTTTTAAAAACTGTGCTTATGTTTTATTTTAAAAACAAGTACAAATACATATTTTGTTTCCCTTCTCTGCAAAGTGTAGTAGTGGTAAGTTGTAAATATTCCTTAGATTTGGGGGTGTTAATACCTTAGTGCCCTTCTTACGGACCTCAGGTTTCAGCACTTCAGCTTAGAGTATTGTTACCAGTGTGAGAATCTATCACGTCTGGGCTGAGAGACCTGAGGGCTAAAGTTGCCATTAACTCTCTGGGCCCAGGGCCTAAGAACAACCAGGAAATCCACAAATGTGTGCCGAATGGGTGACCAGAGTGGATGTAAGCAGGGCAAGAGAATACTTTGATTCTGTGTGTTGCCTTGGCATACTCTTGGGGACGTTTTTAAATGGTCAGATTCCTGGTATTATTTATTTTCATAGATTTTCCCCTCTGACCAAAACAAAACAAACAAACAAACAAACAAACAAACAGCCCAAACAACCTTCCAACAATCTCCCCCCACTCCTTCCGTCAACGACACAGGAAACAACTTTGAATTTGCACCAAATACATGAAGATGCAGTCTATGCTTGTACGAAACCTTTCTTAGAAATAGCCTTTCAGCACCACATGTAATGCGTTTGTCTGGGCATGTCATGAAAATACCAGTACGCACGTGGTAAGGGTTGTCAGGGTTGAAAGGTTCTTCGTCGTCCTGAACATTGGGTCTGGTCCCATTACTCAGTCTTCCAGGGCCTGCGTTGCGTCGAGGTTCGCTGTGTGGTCTTCTTGTGGTAGAGGGAGCACTGTTTCTTACTACTTCTCTTCTCTCTCTTTGGATTTCTGCAAAATTTGCTATAAATTAATTCCTTTACGTGAACAATTAAGGCAATTTGATCTGCATTTTAGAGTGAGGATTGCAGGTATGAGCCATGGCCTAGCCTAGCTTCCCATTCGATTTCATAATACTGACTGCAGCAGACACTGGAAGCTGGTTGACAAACTTCTGTTCTCAACCATTCCCCTCCCCCATTTCCCCCCTCACTTCACTATAGGAATTGAGCAGATAAAATAGTGCTCATTGTTCCTGCCTTGTTTGCAGCGAGGAGTAGCCAGGCAAGCTATTTCTAAATCTAAAACATAGCATAGGTTAGCGCCATGTGTGGGAAAGCCTAATTGACTTTCTTGATAGAAGATGACAGATAGTTGTTTCTGTGTGTTTTTCCTGGATGTAAATGTGCTGTCTGGAATTTGGAACTGGTAAGTAAGCACAAGGATGATGAGGGTTAGGGTTAGGGTTAGGGTTAGGGTTAGGGTTAGGGTTAGGGTTAACATGCTACAGAGAGCAAAATGATAAGTGAAATAGAGACTAAGGTATGAGGGACTGGCCACAATGCCAGAAAGCTCATGTCTATTCCCTTTGAGTTATATGTACAATGCAGCTTCTCTCTTGAAAACACTGTTGATCAGGTATGCTGTACTCCACAGCCTTATGTACTCTTCAGTAGATATACACACATATATAAATACACTTAGAAATGCATGCAAGTTATTGTCTGGGGGACTGGGAGTATATGAGGTGGCAGTATATTATATATGTGTGTGTGTGTGTATTTATACCGTATATAAATAAGTAATTGTTTATATAGATATAAAGCTTTACATTTTCATACGAACTATTGTCTTGGATAATTCTTAAAAAACAACAAACATCAAGGTATAGACCAAGTAAGTGGCTGGCCAAGTTCACAGACTGAGTGACAGCAAGGTCTAGATAGGACCCCTGGCTTCTCACCCAGAGCTCTGGTTAACCATCTCGGAAGGCATCCTGCAGTGCAGCTGACAGGGGAGAAGCAGAGATGGAAGGTATGGCTTAGCATTTATTGTAGAGTCTCCCTGAGCCTTAGTTTCTTTGTCTAAAATGGAGATAGCAGTATCTCATTCATAGGCTAATGATAGGGCTAATTAAAACCACACCTAAGGGTCTTGGCATATGATAAGCATACGGATGTTATGTACCATTCTTATAATTCATTATTTTTGAGAACTAAGATGTGCTTTGAAGCTGTAGGTAGCTTCCAAAAATAGTATTGCTTGAGAAGCCCCACGAAGACCCGAATTCAGCTCCTACCCCCTCAGCTAGTTGAAGGACTTCTGACAAATTAGTCTCTTTATCTTAGTATCCTTCTCTGGACCTTGGAAATATGAGTTATAGCAACAGTTATTGGTAATGAGTAAATGAGGATGGCATGTTGTTCCAGAACATCAGCCGTCCTCTTCTGGGCTCTGTCCACCTCTGTCCATCTTTGATTATCCGGCTGTATGATACTGCTGGTCTGTGGTCGCCGACAGCCCATGTGCAGGGTGCAAGACTTTCACTAGAACCAGCCAATGTGCAGGGTGCAAGACTTTTACTAGAACCAGGCAGAGGCGGCATCACGGAGGAGAGATTTAATTTCCTCATTTTATCATAAAATACAGGTGCACTTGTCACAGATTAGGGGAACCTCATTTTAATGCCTATGCTATTCGTATGTATACACCAACATTTACTTAGTCCTTTGCTAATCTGAGGGATTTATATAGAGTCTACATTGTGAGGTACATGTGTGGGGGTTGTATTAAAGCAGGCAAACACTCTGTCATTGATCTATACCTCCATCCCACAACTCCAGTAGTTCTTGTGTAGATATTGCATTGACTGAGTGTGTAAGATCTTACCATGTGTTTATGCTCAAAGGGTTAAGGGACCATCTTAGACATGGGGGATATGCTTCTTTCCAGGGGTTATATCATTCATCTTGGCACTGCCATTTCTCCAGTCTCTGTCCCCATTCCCTGTCCCCGAAGTGTACTTTGCATAGCATCTCCTATTGTTAATACACAGTCTACCTATTCCCTGTGTGTCTAGGTCATTGGTTAGTTAACCTTAGGTGTTGTTCTTAGGAGCCATCTACCTTGTTTTTTGTTTTTGTGTTTTCTTTCATATTCATGTCTTTGTAGGACCTGAGGCTCACCAGTTAGACTGCTGCCTGACCACAGATCCCTATCCATTGAGCTGTCTTCTTAGCCCTGCAAGGGAAAACTCTGGGAGTATCGATTGTTTTCTGTTGCATTCCCTATGTGTCTCTGGCCTAGAACAAGTTACGTGGCACAGGATAGACCTTCATAAATGTCATTTTATAAATTATACTTTGTAAATGAGTGAGTAAATGAACTCCAGGGAGTTCTGAGGCTTGCCTTGATATCAGAGAGCTGTGTGGTCATGTGGGATATTCCACTCCATTAATGGAAAGGATAATGGTTCTGGGTGGTAGGCAGCAAAAAGGCCTCACCTAGAAAACAGTATCGCAGACTGAAAAGTGGGGTGTGGCCATGAGAAGGGTATCCACAGAGAGTGAAATTGCATTTCCAGGGCTTGAGTTAGCTCTAAGGGCTTGGGACATTGTTTCTTACTGAGCCTGCCTACGGCCTCAGGGTCTTTCTCAATCCTCTGCCAGGTGTGATATGGCGCTAGTTGGTGTGGACTGAGAGAACCATCTTCTCCAGGCTTTTGAGCAAGATGAGACTAAGTATCAGTTGGTCATGGTAGAATCAGAAATCTATGCTTTCTATGCCTTGTAGGCTATTGCTTCGCTTGTGGTAAAACAAGCATAACAATAGACAGGGTATCATCTAGCACAGGCTGGCCTTGCTTACTGTGTAGTTGAGGATAGCCTTCAGCTGATCCTTCTGCCTCAGCCTTCCTAGAACATGGATTAACAAGCAGTGCTAGCAGGCCTTGCTCATTTTAGCCAGTTTTGTTTGTAAATGCTGTGTAACCATCACTACCATCCATCCATAGAAGTGCTGCTGTTTTCTCAGGTAAATTGTTCTTTCTGTTCTAAACAGTATCCCAACAAGCCAGTGGGCTCAATGCCCTCATTTTGTCCATTTTCTCATTGTTGTCTTCTACTATGCAATAAAACCTTTCTGAAAACAGCCTATCTCATATGTGCAGAGAGAGGCCTCCCTCTTCACCTGCGCCACAGCTACACAGTAGGCCTTGGGGAGACCAGTGTGTTGACCACAGTAGAAATGAAGTGTGAGGCCCTTTGGGGACGAAAGAGGGTGAGGCCTGTTGGGATCACCTGGCCTTTGTCACTCAGAAATGGCTCAAAGGTGAGCTCCCGCCTGACACCAAGGGGGCCCTGCACTTATTTTCTCTAGGTTTGGAAGCCGACGCTGGAGCCTTGAACATGAGGAATCTTAGCCTATACCCACAGCAGCTTTTGGCTGTCCCATAATTCTGGGTTCGAATATAATAAAGCATCGGCAGCATGACAGCTTCTTAGTCCCCCGATGCTGTGCTTTGAGAATAAAGAAATGTAAAATTGGAAGGCTCGAACAACTGAGATTAAGGGGCAGTGCAGGAAGAAGCAGGGGTGTCATAAATAAACGCGGCAGGCAGGAGTAGTGTTGTGTCTTCCTGTCCTGCCTCCTGTTAACCCTGCTGTGCCTTCCCTTCCACACTGCAGGTGCACCCCCCACTCCCCCCCCCCCATCCTGTCATTTTCCTTCTCTCATGCTAATTACCAAGACTCAGCCAAGAAACATCCCAAGCTACCCCATTGGTCCCACGACCTCTGCTCAGTGGAGGGGGCTCCCAAGAGCCCCGGAGACAGGAGGAATTCCAAGCTCTATTTCAAGATGTAACATTTTACCTTTTGGATACATGGGCTTAAGCCAGAAAATAGGCAGGTCACCGCAGAGTTCAAGGATCTTAGGACTCAAGAAGCTGTTGTCCTTCACAGGCTGGTCCACAGCCACCCAAATCAGAGCGTTCTCTTCATATTTAACTGGCATGATCTTGCCTTCCTGTAAACGTGAAATGCATGTGAGCAGAGGATGGTGGTGCATGTTGACGGTTGAGTCTGGGTACCAAAAAATTATTTTACTTTGTGTAAACTCAGGGACAATTCTGAGTGTGCACATAGGATGCATGTACACTGTAAGGCTCCGTCTTTAGTCTCCTCAGGACCCAGCACAGCTCCCAACACCCTGCTTCTAGACAGCTGCAGTGTGTGAACTGAAGTGTTTAGAGTTGAAGTGAAAATTACTTGATACCGACTTTGAGATTTAGGTTAATCTGATGTTTTCGATCAAAGATGTGTTTGAGGAAAGACAATTGAACAGACCCTGAAATCCTATAAAGGACAGAGGAACCCTTCATTTGAAGTGAAAAATCTTCTGGGTATTTTTTTTTTTTTTTGCAGCTTCCAAACAACAATGGAAAAGGCAAGTGATTGGTTCTTTAATGTCTCCAGTTCAAAGTGTTATTTAACATAAACCATTTCTCCTGTTCCCAGTTATAACAAAACTTATCTCAGACGTTCCCCACATCAAGCACACCACTGAGATTTCAAAGCTAAGCCCCGGATTTCCTGCTACAGAAGGATGCTGAGGATGGTTTGATAACCCAGGAGACAAATTTATTTATTTATTTTTGCCAAGTTGTTCCTTTCATGTATTTATTACTTTGCAGTAGGTTGGAGAAATTAAAATGTTTTTTTTTTTTTTTCCCTCACTACAGGTAAAAGCAGCACTTCATTTGGGTTTCCTCCCTCAGGCAAACGGTTGCATTTAACAGCTTAGAGTTATTGGAGGAGGGTAACACCCAGGTAATCCAGTTATTTACCTTAAATCAAGTGGCTTCATCCAGGAAATGACTGCTCTTTGAGCACAGTAGCCCTTTAAAGTTATACAAAACTGTTGAAAAATTTATGACAGCAAGTGATTCATAAATCTGCCCCGCTGTAGCCTGAAGGCTGTGGAGGGGGGGGGATGTTGGGGATGACACACATAGATGCGTCCCGTAAGCCAGGGATGTTATCAGTCTGGGAGCACGTGGGCTCCAAACAGGATTTACTCAACTGTGCTTCCTGAACTGATTTTTATCTATGAGACGATCTCTCATGTGTGTGGTAAACAACAGAAGCATGAGACAGTCTGCTCCAGCCTAAGAATCAAGTGCAAAGATTAAAATACAAAAGTATTTACCATACTTGAATCATTATCTTCAAGTATTATTACCTGAAATTGAGGGTACCTGAAATATTTGACTAAAAAGACTCTCAAAAGTAGAGTCATAGGTGGGCACGGTGACTCGTCCCTTTAATCTTAGCGCTTGGGAGGCAGAGTCAGAGACAAGCAGATCTCTGTGCGTTAAAGGCCAGTCTGATGTATCACCATATATATGATAAGTTCTTGTCTACAAAAAAAAGTATAATCACATGCTGATTTACCATTCATACACTATAACCTACAATTTAAAGCTAAAGCAAAAATAAGAATTTTGTAATAGCTTAATTTCATCTCTGAAAAGATTATCGTAAACGCAAAAACACAAAAATCACCAAACTGTTACCATTTGTCACTTCAAGATTATAGAGTCATGACATTTTTCTATTCTTCTCTATACTTTCATGTATTTATCATATTTATTTTTGAGACAAGGTTTCTCTGTGTAGCCCTGGCTGTCCTGGAGTTAGCTCTATAGATCAGGTTGGCCTCAAACTTAGAGATCTGCTTGCCTCTGCCTCCCAAGTCCTGGGATTAAAAGCATGTGCCACCATTGCCTGGGTTATCAAATGTTCTATAGTATCAAAGTATTGTTTTAGATTTTAGGGACAAATAATTATAGCCAATGAGATGGCTCAGTGGGTAAGACACACACACACACACACACACACACACACAGATAGATAGATAGAGAGAGAGAGAGAGAGAGAGAGAGAGAGAGAGAGGTGTAAAGTTGAAGTTGTATACTATAAAGCAGTGTGTTCAGAGCTGGGTAATCTAGAGTCAGCAGGAGAGAGACTGAGTTCTAAGCAATGCATCAGCGGAGTTCAGGGAACGCTGTGTAATGAAGAGAAGCACCAGGGCTACAGCAAAGGAGCGTCCCACCCAGTTTTTAGGCTGTCCTCTGTGAGTTCCTACAGAGCACAGCTCACAGGGAGAACAAATAGAACATGGGGGCCTGGGGGTCTGGAGGCCACCTTACAGAAGGAAGAACAGGGTAACTGGGTGTGGTGAGAAGTATCAGGACTTCCCGGCTCACTTTCAATGCCTCCGGGTTTGTTTGTAGCTTCTGTTTTGTTCAACTTTGAGATGTAACCTGCTGTTGCTCACCTGGGAGCAAACAATTAGGTGGTTTCTAGGCACCCTTCCCCTTAGTGGCCCTGAGGGATCTGCGGCTCCTTTCACTTCCCTCTCGGGGACAGGAAGGCTCAGAGATGATCATAATAAAATTAGCAATTATGAGCAGCCGTCTTCCCATTCACCTTCTAGTGGGTTCTAAGGCAATGGGCAGAGTGTGCACGCAGCAGTCGAAAGCTGACAAAATGAGAGTTTCAAGGAGTTACAGCCACATTCACAGCAGGTAGCAGAACTGGCTTTTAGATCTACATTTTTTATGACTCCCAAGTCTGTCTTCCTCCCCCATATCTGCCACAGCTCAGATGAGAGCCGGTCATGGGTGTGACCACTCTGTAAGCCCTAAAAGAGTAAGGAGGGGAGCACTAATATTAAATGTGTCTCTAGGACTCTGTGCAAACATAACGAGTTTTTTAAACATCAGGTTTAGAGCCGGTATACAGCTTGTGGAGTGATTACCTAGCATGTGCGAGGCCTTAAGTTCAATTGCCAGTTACATAAAACCAACAAATACCAGGCTTACAGGCAATTTACTAGTAAGAGATGAAAGAATTAAGTCTTTAAAACTGGTAGAGTTGGAGGTCAGCCTGACTATGTAGTGAGTTCTACTCTAGCCCAAGCTTTCAAGGGTAACTTTGACCCTGTGTGACTAACAGAGCCCTGTGAGATATATATATCTTACACTATAGCATAGGCCCTGCTGGTAAGGCCTTGATTAAATTTCTTGCTTTAAAAAAATAAAATCTACAAGGTTCGTATAGCTTCATTTAAGCTGACTTGAGCCAAAGGGAAGAACTATGGGAACACCTCAGCTCATGGTTGGATCAAACACCCATGGGAAGACTGCTCTAACCACTTCCTGGGTGACCAGCTGTCCAGAATATTTGGGAAGAATTCCCACATTTTGTAGGAATGAGGCTAGGGGGTTTATTGAAGTCCCTTTAATGAAGATTTTACCTTGTGGATTTTTTATTTTATTTTGGACTTCTAATCACTGATCAGATAGCCATTTAACATTGGATAAATAAGGGCTACCTGAGTGTCAAATCCCTAATGCTCTTGGTCATTTTTATATTTGTTTGTTTGTTTGTTTATGTGTGTATGTCTGTGTGTGTCTCTGGGTATGTGTCTGTGTCTCTCTGTCTCTGTCTCTCTGTCTCTGTCTGTCTCTCTGTGTCTCTGTCTCTCTCTCTCTCTGTGTGTGTGTGTGTGTGTGTGTGTGTGTAGCTACAGCACACAGGTGGACATTGGAAAACAACTTGAAAGAGCTGCTTTGTTCTACCATGTGGGTTCTAGGGATCCAGCTCAGATTGGCAGGTTTGTGTAAGAGCCAAAGTTTACCTGTAAGCCCCACTTGCCCAAGCCACATGTTTTTGCTCCCCTAAACAAGCCCCCCCCCATGTGCTTGATTGAATGTAGGCGGGAGGTACGTAGGCAGGAAATAACACAAGGGTATGTATGCTTGCCCCTGATTGGACCCGATGGGAAATACAGTGAATATAGTGAACTGTGGCTTTTGCCTTTTTAAGCCTCTGTAAAACGTGGACCTGGCCAGAGTCCATCAACCTGGCCAGTATTTAATTAAAGCTTGCTTCAAATTTGGCTCAAAATTGTGGAACTGTTTTTTCTCTCTCAAATTTCAGGAGTAACACTTGGCAGCAAGCAACTTTTCTCACTGAGTTATCACAGCTAATGCACTTTAAAACATGCTTCCCCAAACCTTTAAATATGCTGCACCATGTCAGAAAGATGGCTGGGAGCCAGCAGGACAGAGAAGTTCTTCTAGTAGAGAAGAAATAAAACTTAGGTTGTAGTCATGAACCTGCCAAGGAAGAAGGTCTTCAGTGTCTGCCTGTCATGTGTGTTGGTACCTACCAGTTCAGAAACGGTACCCACCAGTTCAGAAACGGTACCTACCAGTTCAGAAACGGTACCTACCAGCTCAGAAACGGTACCCACCAGTTCAGAGATGCTCTGCTTGGTCACAGTTCCCACTTCAGGGATGCGAGCCTTCACCTGTGCTTTGATATAGCACTTCTCTCCTCCAGCAAAACGGATCCCAGTGATGCCCTATGAGATAAAAGTTTGTTTGTCTATCCATTTATTCACTCAGTCCATTATGTGTAGAGGTAAACATAAAATAAAGTCCTGGTTACCAGGAAATTTATCTTTAGCATTGTCTTCCAATAAGAAGAAAATATAAATTCAGGTAGAAATAGGGGTCACAGAGAAAACACGGCTAATAAAAAGGCTAGGAACGGTAGGGAGGATACTGTAGAGACCACGCCCAGGAGGGGTGATGGTGAGGGGTGATACCTGAGCCTGTAGCTTCTGTTGGCTACTCTGTGTATGGAGCTCAGGAACTGTCCCTCCATCCATGCAACCCTTTCCGAGCTCGTGGCCTGGGTGAGTTCTCTGTCTCAGACTTTTCCTCAGCTTCATCTTTCATTTGTCACTTGGTCTATGGTTCTCAGTTACAAACTTCTTGAGATTAGTGTCTGAGGTGTACATGTCTGAGCACGCCTGGGATCCTACAAAGCTCCTCTTAAGATGTTGGCCAAATTAATGAATTCCCTTAATTCTGAGCTTTCCCAAGTTACTGAGTCTGACGTAAACAGACAAACTTTACACAGCACCAGGAGCACAACCTTACCAGAGGACTTGACGTTTTGTTTTGTCCCCTCTGAGATATAAACAGTGTCTCCTCCTGGCTGGGGACCAGCCTTAGGGGACACAGCGGCACAAAGCTCCTTCTGAGTTGACAGCTGGGCACTGCTTTCCACCTGAAGAGGATGTGAGAACTGCACATTCTGTCCCTGGAGTGTTTACGTGACTCTGCTGATGTCGATTCAGGATGAGTAGGTGATCTAAATATTCTAAAAGGTCATAACATTTATCTCTAATAATGTAGATTTCCCCCGAATGTCTGAACCTCCATGACCTCCCATTGTGTCGCGATCAGTGTAGGACAAGGCTGTACTGTTGAAGTCACTGAGAAGGAGTTGGGGAGGTCACTGAGAAGGAGTTGGGGAGGAAAGCACAAATCCAGTGCTACAGGCTCAGGATTCTTAAATGACGTTAACCAAATGTCATGCTGCAGGAGAATTACAGAAATCTACCATATTCATACTCAGGACCTGAAACCTACAGAGGCTGGCAGGTAACAGACTTAGAATAGGGAGGGGGCGGGGGGAGGCTGAGTCTTCCTGCACGGCCCATTCTTTACCTTGAAGCCTGCTTGTTCATACAGCAGACCTCTTGTTCATGTTTGAGAGCCACTGGGGTCTGCTATGCTACTTCCCAAAGTTCTGCTGCTCCTTCCCTGTATGTAAATCTAAGACTTGTAGTTTAAGGCCTGCAGGTTATAACTCTGTCACCTTATTTCTCTCAACCCAGCTCCTCAACAGAGAAGAGGCATGGCCTGACTACAGAGGTCTGCGTTGGGAACCAAAGTCCTATGGAGAAATTTTAAGACCATAGTTGATATAACCGGGTTTTGTAGTACAGCGCTGGAGAGGTGGAGACAGGAAGATGGAAAGCGGAAGGTCATCCTTGGTTATACAGTGTAGGCCAGCCTGAGGTACATGAGATCTTGTCAAAATAAACAAACAAAAACCAACCTAAAAACAGAACCCAGCTGCTGGACTATCCCAAAAGATTCCTATTGCATTGATAGTGGGGCTCGATCTATGAGTATTTTTAAACTACCAGATGTCAGTGATGGACAGCTGGAATTGAGGCCCAGCAGTTTAGGGTAAAAGGAACTTTGCAGAGTAGTTTTTACATGATTATAGTAGTCTTTCAGCCCAGGTTTCTCCTATACCTAGGACTCATAAACATTTGTTTGTATCAGAGTCATTGGGACAAACCTCAGAAGCTTGGGTCCCAAGCCCAGGGGGAGGATTTCTGATTTAGGATGTCTTAAGTTTGTTATTTTCCTTAAGCCCTTGGAGGCTATCCTGCTGGTACCTCAGGGATATAGATTGAAAACCATTGGCATCTACTATGCTAATTCCCAAAGTTCTGCTGATCCTACCCTGCATGTAAACCTGCGACTTGTAGCTTAAAAATCAAAGGAGGGGCCGGGCAGTGGTGGCGCACACCTTTAATCCCAGCACTTGGGAGGCAGAGGCAGGCAGATTTCTGAGTTCGAGGCCAGCCTGGTCTACAGAGTGAGTTCCAGGACAGCCTGGGCTACACAGAGAAACCCTGTCTCGAAAAACAAAACAAAACAAAAAAAATCAAAAAAAACAAAAAAAATCAAGGGAGGGAGAGTGATCACTGCTCCCTGTGTAGTACGTTTCCTAGCCCCAAACACGAATGCTCTCTGAACATGAGATGTGCGGGGAGGAAAGCATACATCATTCCAGTGCTCCTGGAGAGAGCAGACTCTACTGCAGATGACCACACTGAAAGTCCACCTAGAACTGTTGATTCTCACAGTCCACACACTGCAGAGGTTGCTGCCAGCCCATTGGTTGGGACCAGTGGAAGGGACTTCACACCTCACCATCCAGTCTAGCTGCAAATCCACCAGTGATACCATATATATTAAGAGATTAAACAGATGGAGAAGTACAAGAAAGTCAAGCGAAGTGCCTCTGCTAGTAAACAAACTGGCCCTAGAAGCCCATGACAACGAAGACATTGGCTAACAAAGGCAACAAGTGAAGATTTAAAGAACAAACCAACAAAAAACAAACAAACAAATCTAACATTTATCAAAAGAACCATATGCTACTACCCTAGCTGCGCTTCCTTAGGGAGAGCCCTAAGGAGGGAGGAAGTTTTGTCCCCAACAGGCATTTTAGAAACCTTTGGAAGAGTCTGATACAAAGGTTGGGGTATTCTGGTTTTTTGGGGTCTTGTAGATCCCTGGAATCCTGAAGAACTAACTATCCCGTGTCTTAGGAATCAAAGCTGCTCGTGGGTACTTGCCTGGCACAGGCTACCATTTTCATTCTACATATAAACACACAGTGACTGAGCATAGCTATATTTCCTATAAACGGCTACTTAGAAATTGAAACATGTTAGTTTTTGTTTTATTTTTGAGACAGAATAATCTCAGACTTGTCTCAAACTCACAACCCTATTTCCACTTCCTAAGTTCTGGGTTGGCAGGCGTGCACAGCCATGCCCGTCAAGGCATCAGTACTGATGCCTACTGCCTGAGAAAAACTCATACCATTTAACTGTCAAAGCACACTCGTGGCCATCTGCACTGCGGGTGTGGCACTGACAGTCTTCAAATGACCAGTAGATGCACTTGACTTTATTAATATCAGCTAATGCATCTGGCAGAGCATGTACATATGAATTCATATTTCATAATAAATTACCCTCATTTTATTGTTCTTTTACATTACAGTTGAGGGTTATATTGATTTTTGAAATCAATAACCTACCTACTTTCAAGGTAGGCTCATGCTGTAGTTCCCTTCCCCCCCTCTAGGTTTTAAATCACAAATTTCAGATATTTACATATTAAAAGAACTGTTTTCTGAAAACCCAGAATATCTATACATGCAGCTGTCTATTCTTAGTTTCTTTTTTGGGGGGGTAGGGTTGGGGGAGGGTTTTGAGACAAGGTTTCTCTGTGTAGCCCTTGCTGTCCTGAACTCACTCTGTAGACCAGGCTGGCCTCGAACTCAGAAATCCACCTGCCTCTGCCTCCCAAGAGCTGGGATTAAAGGCATGCACCACCACTGCCCGGCCTATTCTTAGTTTCTACCCGTGGCCTTTGTTACTGAAATATAGTTTCAGATCTGAGGAACTTGGCTTTAGCCAACAGCATGGATGCTTGCTTGTCAGGGTATAATCTTTTAGACTACAAATCACAAACTGTGAATCAACCCTTGTTTGTTGTTTGTTTATGTCTTAGGGAACAAAGTATGGGGCACTGGTTTTTGCAGTGCTCCTCTCTCTTACTGTGTCTGTTCTCTGTTGAACTGTGTGAAAATACTGGGGTCCCAGGTATCAATGTACAGGGCAGAACCTTTCATGACCCAGCCCCCACCTGTATTTCCATCAGTCTCCATCCCCCTCCTTAACATAGTTGACCGCATTGGGAAGGGGACGGTGAATCCTTTTGTAGTACCCTTTCTAGCTCTTCCTGTTAAAGTTCAAACTATTTCTCAAAAGAGTTAGGGCTATAACTGAGTGGAAGGGTGCTAGTTTAGCACAAGAAAGCCCTTTGGTTCTGTTCCCAGCACCACAAATCATTCCTCAGGACATTACTCAATTACCGTGCCCCCACCTCTGCCATGCCTGTGCAAAGCCTCTAATTGGCAGTGATGCCCTGGGCGTGGAGCACACTTTGCACATAGCTTATCACGGCCCATTTCTGGGCTGACCTCAAGCCATTTCTGTGTGCATGTCTTTCTTCTAGACCGGACCAGAAGGTCCTTGAAGGATAAATGTCAGTCATCTTCCATCCCTGTGCTTAGTGCCATCCCTCGATACGGCGAGCCTCAATCAACACTTCCTGTGTTTGACTGATGGTTTAAAATAGAGGCAGAAGTAATAGAAGATGACCACAGAGTCTGATTCATGTCTTTTCAAAAGGCCAGGCTTGTTTAAACCCATAGCAGGTACTATCCATCAAAAAAATGTTCCGCTCACCAGTTCTGACTTAGAGAAATGTAGAAGCTATCAAAGAGAATTGATCAGTTTATGAAATATTTGTGACCCTGTTCGTCTATGAGAACAAAACACAGTCAATACCATTACTAGAAAGAAGCAAAGGATTATAAAACAGATATATAGGTTTGGGATTAAAATATTTTCAGAGGATATTCTTGACACGTCAACCTCCCAAGAGTGAGGGGCCTTTTGCAATCCATCCTCACAGCCCCCTTTGCATATTTTGACATTGTGGCACATCACAGGTATTCAATTTTGTTCTGGAGTGAATGATGTGTACAGAGGAGCCACATTTTATTAGTGTCTATTGAGTAGTACAGGGAAAAAATGTTTTGCCCTGTCCTGGGTTTTGCAGTAAAAGCATTTAATAGGTCCAGAGAAATTATACTTGTGCACAGACCAGAGCCATTTGCAATGTGATGACCACACAAAGTGCAGCTGGGCACACTCAGGGCTGCAGAGCCTGTCCCCAGGGCAGGCCCCTCTATGAACACAGCCAGGCTTCGTCGGCATCGATATTCAGCATCTCAGAGCACTAATTCTAGCATCTGCTGGGAATTCAAAAGGACTGGTGAAGCGTGTTTTGGTTCCCACAAGAGGAGAGTGCGTTCGTGTAAATGAAAAGCTTCTTTCGTTTTTCTCATAAATAAGGGGAAGATGGGTTGATGAGATGTTTGTAGACCAATAAACTATCAGAAGAGACATTATTTTCAAGAGCCCTCCTTCACTATGAAGCTTTACCTACTTTGTCTGCAGATTTAGCAGAAGAACCCAAACACTAATGCTTCTTCCTTATCACAGAACAGAAGAGAATAAGATTTTGTCAGCCAACAGGAAATGTAGCCCAAGTGACACTTCTGTTAGCAGATGCACACTGAAGCATCAGCGAAGGGCCCAATGTCTCAAATTGCCTGGAAGTTAAATTTTGCTCAAAACGAAAAGAGGGCTCAAATGTGTCTCTTGTAATAGTCGATGCCAGGAAACGTGGGCTATGATAGGCACCCACCCATGCTTATTTTCTGGATTAAATACAAATTGGAAAAATATGGACGTAGAACCTACTGTTAATAAACCACCCAGCCATAAAAATGTCTTTATTGTCTAGAAATCCAAAGTTTTGCCCTTGCTGTTGTTGAAGATTGTTTGAGCACGCTACATGCCGTGTTATAGAATATCTCTCAGAATGACATGGTTCTCACGAGCCCTCCTGGAAGACTTTGGGCAATTTCAAGAAGAGTCTGTTCTTGGCAATGACATTGTATTTTCCCATTTGAAACAATAAAGATTTATTGTTTTGACTTCTAAGTCCATATATCTTTTATTTTCTAGAAGTAAACTCACTTCCAAGCTCTTTTTTTTTCCCCTGGAGATGGGTATCTCATGATCAGGCTGCTTCAAACGGCTGGTCTCAAGTGCTGTCCTTCCTGACAGCTGTGCCTACTGCACCGGAAGGGGTTTTGCTATTTTGTATATTCCCCCATGTTTCCTCTTCCTTGCATGAAGATGGAAGACAAAGCAGGATCCTTTCTCAAGGAGCAGAAGCTACACATTACATGTGGGTTGCTGGCACCAAAGCTGCTGCAAAGAACAGTAACCACTTCGTGCATGAGAGAGTGACCGCTTCTCCTCAGACTGGAAAAGCCAGGGCTTTGCCTGTTAGACTCTGTAAATGTATGAAATGTACTTACATTTTGGAAATCATTAACTTCAATTGCTTCCTCTGCTCCACTTCCCATTTTAAAGGTCTCCAAGTTGTTTGCAGCGTCTACTTCCACTGAGCCGTCTTGTAGTCTGCCATTGATACTCATGGTGTAATGAACATTGTAAATCTAGAGGGGACACAAGAGTCTTTGGTGCACTCTTTCTTTCAGCAATTCGGGGCTTATCTATAGATCCACAATATGTGAGGTGGGTTCCATCTTTTTCATAGATACATAAATACAGCAACACATAGTATTACATTTACATAATACATAGTATTACATAGTAATACATTTGCGGACTCTATCCATACACCAGTCAGTGAATACAGTGATTTTGTGTGTGTGTGGTGTGTATGTGTACATATATTTGTGAGTATGCATGTATTTGTGCACATGGATGAATTCATGCCTCCCTGTGGGGTGTGTGCTTGTGTAAGACAGAGGTTCTTGTCAGGTATCTTCCTTAATCATTAACCACCTTACTTTTTTGAGACATTGTGTCTCACTGAAACTGGAACTGACTAATTCAACTAGACTGGCCAGCCGGCAAGCCTGTCTTGGTTTCCCCGGTGATAGGATTACAATGTGGGTTCAGCTCCTGAAGGCTGCTTGGCAAACACTTTAGCAAAGGAGCCATCTCCTCAGCCTGACCTCAGCCTGATTGTTTTAAAATACTTTCTAAGTAAAATCTTTGGTGGTGTTTGATAGCTACTTAAAGAGCTCAAGGGCTTGGATCTTGGCTACACATCAGAAGCAACTGAATAGGTGCTCTAGGTACCATATCTGGACCAATTAAATCAAAGCCTGTGAAGTTGGGGGTTGAGCATCAGTGCTTGGTTTTCCAAAGTTGAATACTATTTGTAGCTGGACTGAGAACCACCCACGAATAGATGGAAAGGCATTTGGCTGAAAGTGGAGTGGCATCTTTGCTTGGAGGCTGATTTTTGAAATTCATCAGTCAAGGTTAAATGTGTGGGGGAAGCATATGATAAGGATTTGAGACAGGGCTGGGTCTGTCTTACATACAATAGCACTTGGGAAGCAGAAACAGGCAGATCTCTGTGAGTTCAAGGCCAGCCTGGTCTACATAGCAAACTCCAGGATAGCAAGGGTTGCATAGAGAAACTATTGAGAGAGAGAGAGAGAGAGAGAGAGAGAGAGAGAGAGAGAGAGAGAGAGAGA